AACACCACACCACACAAAAGGAAAAAAGAGGAGATTTTCCTTCCACGCGGGCCCGCCCGCCGCCGCCGCCGCCGCCGCGCTTCCTCGCCGCGCCCGCAAAGGGTCGGAACGCGCTGAATTACGGGTCCGCCGCGACGCGGTGACCAATCAGAAATGGGAACATCCGAAGCGGCGGGAGGGGGAGGGCGGAGGCGGGAGGGCGAGGCGGGAGGGCGGAGGCGGGAGGGCGGAAGGCGGGAGGGAGGGAGGCGGGAGGGGAGGCCGGGGTGGGAAAGAACGGAAGAGTGGGGTATGCGGGCGGGAAGGGCAAAGGGGGAGCGGACAGAGTGGGCAAGAGGCGGGCGGGAAAACGAGCGAAGGCGTGGATGGTGGGCGGTGGAGGGGCAGATGTGAGTGGGCGGAGTGGAATGAGGTTGGAGTGAGGGAGGAGGCGGCCCGGCGGGTGAAGGTGGCGGGCGGTTGGTGGGTGGGCCGGCTGAAGAATGGGGGAGGGTGGAGGGCGGCGAGGGCGGGGCGCGAAACGGCGCGTCCAGGCCGCTTCCGTGAGCGGGTCCGGGGTGGGCGCGAGGGCGGGGGGGGTGCCGTCTTCGAAAATAGGCGCCCACACCTCCCTTCTGCAAGGCGATTACCGCACTTTATTTAACATATCTGACTCGCTCCGAAACGCGGCGGAGGCGGTGTTTCGAGCGGGCCGGGGACAGCGTGAGGGCGCGGGGGGGGAGCGGCGCGAGGCATAAAAGACATCATCCGCGCCCAGAGGGGACCGGCCGCGCCGGGCCGAGCCACGCGCCGCGCTACAGCGCGCCTCCGGGCCGCCGACGCGCAGACGTTCCGACGGGACTCCTGGGCTAATTACTCGTCCAGCCTGGTCCGGCGTTTCTATTAACCACGGCACGCTGGGCCACGCGGGTCGAGAGGGTCGGGAGGGCGGGCCCGAGTCGTCCCGCCCCCACCGCCGTCCCGCGCCGCCCGCGGGACGCCGCTCCCCGCAGCGTCGCTGCACTGTTCCGGCACGGGGTTGGGCGATGCGGGGGCGAGCGCCGCTGAAATTGCACGTCTGCTTGCAGGGCGGAAGGTGCGTCTGCGCCACATTCGCGACGGCCAGGAGCTGCCACCCATCGCAGCGGACAACAACTACGATTACAACTACCAGGAATACCGCCGCCTGCAGAAGCCTGTCAAGGTCTACCCGGTAAGTCTCTACACACTTCCTTATCACTGTAGTTTTATTTTCTAATGTCAAAAAAGAAGCGAGAAAAAGCTTCATTTACTGTTCACACATACAATTGAGACTTAAGATTATTTCAGTAAACTTAAAGATTATTTGATTCAGGAGCAAAAAAAAAAAAATATATGATGTTTCTAGATACCTTAAGATAACAAGGAATGCTACTTTGGACCTTCCGACAAGGCTGTATTCGGCTCAGTATTCGTTTGAGTGGGTTTGTACAATTGCGCGTTTTCGTTACATCTTTAAATTTCAGAATAATATTGTTTGTTGTTTTTCAACTGGGTATGTACAATCTTTTATCTCTAAAGGTTTCACACCCTTTAATTTATCAGAAACGTTTACCGTATTTATAAATTTAATTACTCTATGAGAGGGAAAAATTACAAATGAAACCTATTACGTTTAAAGTGTACGATTTCTGTGCTTTTGTGCTAAATACTGGTTTAGAATTTTGTAGTCTGCATTCATAGCCAGAACATATTCAATTGAGAGATTTTTTAAAAGTTTTGAATTTCATATAACACGTTTATGCATTTTTCTTCGCCACATTCACATTTATTTACAGGCTTGGGTGTTAACACATTACTTTTATTACGGCCAGTCAAATATTCCTCTTTCGAAGTTATGAATTTCGCTGTTCAGCATTATATTATTAGAATACGTGAGCTTGTCCCCTCGAGAGCTACTGCAAAATATACGAGAATATATTTAGTCACACAGAATGAAGTGCATATTGAGTAAGTAATGCGAATGGGCATGTCAGCACAGTCAATTATAATATGTGTGTGCCTGTTATTGATCACATAAATGATTTTCACTGAAATTAACTTATTGTTTAAATTCTACAAACATTGTGATTGGGCGTCTGAGCATTGTGAGGACGGAATGTTGAAATGAAGCCATAGAATTAAATTATATGTTTTTATGCATGCTCTTATTAAGGGGTGTGAATTATCGAAATCCATTTAGCCACCCTCACCTTTGTTGAGGCTACACGCAAATCAGCAATTACTCTTTCGAATAAACAAACAAAAAAATATGAAACGTTTGGAGAATATAATTTTATGTAATTTTCGTAATTCATTGACAAAAATAGTTCGTCTCTAAATACGAATACCTCGTTTGTTAGAAAGCATTTATTATTCACAATAACACAAAAGGCTGCAATGAGAGATAGTCGTAACTGATTAACTGCGCAGTGGTGCTGAGTTATTGAGTAAAAATATAATATTTACACAACCATCGTCCCACTATCATATCGCGCTGCACTTGAGCCATAAAAAGAGCATATAAAACTCCAGCCATTCTCGGTGCTTTTCGTCCTGCCCCGGAAAGATCCGCATTGAGGCACGACTCCTAGTCGAGTTAGCGTCCTTTAACTCTTGCCCCCGACTGCATCTCATTGTCAAGATATCCGGGCGCCGCTCAGTATGCTGAGAACACGTACACAACTGGCAACTACTTTGCCCCGCTGGGAGAAGCCGGGCCGAACGGGCCAGGGCGGTGAGGCGGAGCGAGCGGGGCCGTGGCGGGCGGGACGAGGGGTCGAGGAGGCGGAGGGGAAGGCGGGGAACTTGGAAGGGCACGCACGCGCGCCCGTTGAGCCCGAACGCGGCGAAGTTTCGCGCGGTGCCACGCCGTCCCGGTGCGCTCGCCCCCGGCGCCCCCGTCGACGGACGCCGCGCCACGCCACGCCACGCCACGCCACGCCGCGCCACGCCGCGTTGCTGCCTGCCCCGGCCGCGCCACACTGGCCAGTTACGACTCAAGCTCAGGGCGGAAGGCGATTGAAATTGCGCATGAAGGCTCTGCAGCTCGAATCAAGAAACTTATTTGCAACGACAAACGCCAATAATCACCTAGCGAGCAGAATAGGAAAATAATAGTATTTAATGTATTAAGTATTATTCCATTAAGTATTAACTACAATTACTTAATAAGTATTATTCTGGTCGTTTATATAATAATAATAATAATAATAATAATAATAATAATAATAAACATCTTTATCTACATGGGACGTTTTACCAATTTTGGAAAGGTACCGTAAGAACCGCCCTATCTTGGAAATACTTCCTTCTTTGGTTTCACAGTAACCTGACGTTTATTTGAAGTTATTTTTTGACCATCGCATCACGTTACGAAACTAGTGTATGCTCGAGGTGCTCTGCACCAAAATGTTATTCAACACGCTTCACTTTGTTGATGCCAAATATATTTTACAGTATAAATCTGTGTTATCGTGACGACACCCTCTATTAATGCTACAGAATTATGCGACGAAATTTAACATTCTGGAAATTATAGCCGATTTTTATAACAGCGGCCTTCCATTCATAACTGTGGTTCGTGCGCCCATTTATTGCCATGGGTTATGAAAGCACGAGCCTGCACAGTTTCAATTAATTTCCACACTCGAGCGGAACGCTCCCGGACATACGTTGCAACGATCATAACGCTGGCCGCGATGCTATCCGCCCGTGTCTTAGTTACGCAACATTAACTCGACGCACCCCCGCACACTGCCCTTCTTAGCCTGCCCTCCCCTGCCGCCCCCCTCGCCCCTCGGAAAAGTCGGCCCGCGCCCCCGATAAGCCAGCCCCGGCAGAGCTCCCCTGCTGGACGGACGGCGTCTTCGTATCGTGCTCGCCGAAGCTTTTGACTTAATCTGCGTCCAGGTCGGGACGTTGTTTATTTTCCTTGACGGCGTATCACAAAACGGAAATGGAAAAGCGGAGGGGAGTTCGTGGTTGAGCCCTTCTCTTGAAGTGACGTATCTGAGGTTTCTGAAGACGACTTCATTACGAACTTCATCTCTCGAAGCCGTTTTTGTCTTTCGATTGTTCTTGTTGGGTATACATATTCTTCCAGAGTTGCTTCATGTATTCTGGAAATCATTATCTTAATATCACTTCTTCCGAAATGAAAGAAGATGTATAAAACCTAAAATTTGATAGTAATAAAGAACTCTCAACAATCATAAGTCAGGAAATGCTACTTCCGACTTTATTTTATCTTCAGTCATATATTGTGTTGACGGCAGTATTTTGATGATAGTAGCTTGAAATTGGTCTCCTCTACACTCAGTAAAATAAGAACCATTAGTGATAATAAGACGTTTCTTTCATTTTTATGGCATAATGATTGCACTAAAAATTATAATCAAAGGTCAAATGATTCAAGTTATTTTTTCAAAAGGTTTCTTACATCATTAGACAGTTACAGTTTTGTTACCATACAGTAATGTAGGAATGAGTAAAGTGAAGTCATCTGCATACTTCTTTTGACTACTTAGTTGGTAGGTCATCAGTTGCTGTCTGGAGGAGAATTCTAGCGGTCGACTGCTCTTATTGATACTTTTCCGTGATTCCTCCCATCAACACTAGGCGAATACCATAGAAATATAATTAGAAAAGGCTCACGGACTGCGCGAACTTTCCTACCTCTTCCTCGTCTAAGTTAAACGCGTTGCAAAATATCTCGTTTTATAACTAAAATTATTGTTTGTACTTTTTTTTATAAAAAGTATAAACATATGTAAGTAATTTTGACAAGTGTTTCATTTACATAAAGCCCTTGAGGTTATATCAGAATATGTATATAATTTCTTGACAAACATTTTTTAATTACAGATATAAAAACTATTTTGAAATAAAAAATGTCGTGCTTTTCCTCTTTCCTATCGAGGCCTGTAGAGTACTGAATCCGAAGCGGCATGCCGTTATCAGACCATGGAGGTGGGGGGGGGGGGGGGGGCTCGGTGGGGCCATGGTGGAGCTGGGCTTCTCGAGTGCGGGAAGCGATGCTTGCGAGTGACATTCGGATGATTGGCCATCGGCTTTGCGTAATAGCGGTGCTGTAAGGCGCACCATAACTACGAATTAAATAAGGATTTGCTGCAATTCTTCCGTTTACATAGGACGGTACTGGTCGCAAATAGGTGGAAGCTGATTTGGATAAATAGGGTGAGGAGCGGGGGGCGGGCGAGGCGGGCGGGGCGTATTGCGGTCAGTGAGGACGCGGCGCGGAGGACGCGGGGAGGCTTAGCTTATGCCGGCGGCTTGTTTTTCTCGGGGCTGCCGCTTTCAAACTCGCGCTCCCGTCGCATCTCGTTGGCATTCAGTATTCGCGGTTCGCGGGCTCATCATCGGCGGGGCTTACCGCTTCCACGGCTTCTTTCATTCTCATGATCAATTGTTTCCCTTAGTCACTCCAATTTTTATTCCTCAAACAGAGCACTCAATATTTGCCGTGAAGTTCGGTTGGAAGCGCTTTTTGTTAATCAGCTTGGTGCGAATAGGGCCTAGTACGGCTTGAAAATGCTCGGAAATGGGGCTTCCTAAGTAACGGGTTTGGGCGTTCAATACTGTACATAATAATGCTTCGAAGATTAATTTATGTGAATTTCCATCACATACAAAAACTAACAAAATCAAAGATAGGCAAATTACAAAGCCGTGTGAAGCACATTATGAAGTACTGTATGTATGTAACTTTTATCATGAAATTAACTTTTTCTAAGGCATTTTCGATCACTTCAAGTAAAAAAATTAAAACTCATGATATGCTACTTTTTCGATATTTGGATAACCTACGGAAAGAATTGAAATAATATAGACAGCGTCTACGCACTGTCTTCTTCACCGAAAATTACTTTTTATTAGTTTTTCCCCTTAAAATTTTTTTTATTGATAGAAAGAAAACTTTTGAAACTTCTAGAGAAATAATGGTCTATGAAATAAATACAATTTACTTTTACAAGTTAGGTCATCTCTTTCAAACACACACAAAATTTTGTCTTCGAATAAGAATTTAATGAGGTGTTGATTGGCATGTGGATTGAAAAGTATGGAACTGAGGCAATTATCAGCATGGAAGTCTTCATCGTAGTCAGAATGTTTTTACATTCTACCGAGAGCGAGCTATCCGCGGCTTTCCTGTCATTAGTCGAATGGTAAAAG